AAAACATTTACTCATGTCCTTACATACAGCATCTTCTTTTTTTTTTTTTTCTTTCTTTTTTTTTGGAGAGGTTTTTGCTATAGGCCGCGTGCGCTCGCCAGACAGAGAGAGACAGAGAGACAGAAAGCGAGGAAATCACCCCCCAGGGGGGATGGCCATGCCGCAATCCCTTCTCCTCCATTCTCCTCTTGGGATCTTGGGCATGCATGCACAAGCGCCCGGCGTGAATTTAAGCCACCGGGTCTGGGATTCGAACCATGGTCGACTATGTGGGAGTCCAGCGATATAGCCATTACACTAACTGCTGGCCCCCACGCAGCATATTCTTCATCCTCCAGAAAACCCTTGATGTTCTTCCAACAACTGAAATGTTATCTTTTTGGAATCTACATGGTTAAGTTTACTTGCCTGACTGAATTATGATAGCATATACATTGTTAAATTTTTTCTCTCCCTATTTCTCTCTCTCTTGTCTACAGCGCATAGACCATGTCATAGCATAAAGTGGGTCTCTTAGAAAACCCTTTCCCTAGCCTGAATAACCTACTGATAGACTGAAGGAGGAGGGTTCCACAGAATCCTTAGCACTTCTGGAAAAGCGTTCAATCCCACCATTTTTTTTATCTCATCACAAGAAGTCAATGTGTTCTCTCCAAGATGTTTCTTAGCACCCACTTTTCACATAGTTTTTTGCATTCATTATTATGACTCACTTTCCCACCTCACCTTTACCTCATCATCAAGTTTACCAAAATTTGTAGCTCATAATTAACAAAAGTTCTACCTTCCCTCTTTACGTTCTCTTTTGTTTTCTTCCCCTCCTTGCTCTCCTTTTTTGAGGAAACAGTGCTGTCTGCAGCTCTCTAAAGTAGTTTCTCCCATATTGAATAAAACAAAGAGACAGGGTAGAGCATAGGCATCCTATGTGTCCTCATTGCTATTCTTTTCTTCATAGTTTGTTTATTTATTTATGCATTCAATCACAGTGTACCATTACAGCTTGTAAAATAAATTCTCTTAGCATGAATGCACTGTACTATTAGTCCAGTTAAAGATATTCTCATACATGTCTTCAACAGATAATTTTCATTTTTATGCCCCTTACATGTTTTCCTTTTCCTCTTGATTCCCTTCCTTTACTGCTGCTTATTTAACATTATTCTGTCTCCTTCCCCACCTTCTCCCAATTTTTTGAAGTAAATGATATCAAATTATATCACTCCCTAAATTTCCTTACTACAGTCATCTATAGACCATTAGGATTATTGTTTTCTTTTACTCTACCTTGATATAGTCCTATTAGCATAAGTGGTGATGTATACATTCATATGAATGGGATCAGTAGATGGTGTAATAGTTATGTTGCTGGACTCCCCATAGTCGACTATGTTCAAGTCCTGGACTTGGAAACATAAAAACTCACACGAGGCATGTGTGCATGCATGCCCAAGATTCCAAGAAGAGAATGGATTGTGGTGTGGCCATCACCCTGGCGGGGGGTGATTTCTCACTTTCTGTCTCTCTCTGTCTCTTTGGCAAATACATATGCCCTATAGTAAAAGTAGCTAATAAAAAAATTTATATGGATATTCTATTCACAGCAGCTTTTGACTATTGATTGCTCTTTTTTTTTTTTTTTACTTGTCTTGTTCTTTATATGACCATGCATTTTCTTAGTATTCCTACAATATCATGGCAGCTACTTCTTAGTATCTTTTCATGGATTTCTTTTCTCTTCTGAGTTTTGAAGTTCCTAGGGCTTAGTCTTGATTTTTTTGGCAACCTTCACTTCCTCTATGGTTACATCTTGGTTTATTATTTTTCACTTAAGTCTACCTTATCATCTGCAACTGCCTCACAAAGAACTAAGCTTGCATTTTGAAAAAGTTTCACAAACACAAAACGTCCACTAATGAACTCTTGGGTTTTTTTGTTTGTTTGTTTGGTTGGTTGGTTTTTTTTGGAGAGGTTTTTGCTATAGGGCGCGTGCGCTCGCCAGCCAGACAGAGACAGAGAGATAGAAAGCGAGAAATCATGCCCTAGGGGGGATGGTCACACCACAATCCCTTCTCCTCCGTCCTCCTCTCGGGATCATGGGCACGCATGCACACACGCCTGGCGTGAGTTTTAAGCCACCGGGTCCAGGACGCAAACTGCGGTTGACTACATGGGAGCCCAGCAACATAGCCATTACGCTAACTGCTGGTCCCATGAACTCTTGTTTTTTACAATCACACACCCGAGAGATGAATGGAGACCTACTCCAGAGTACAGACCTCACAGTCAGTTTTGATATTCCCTAGTGCCCCACATAAAACCCATCATTAAACATTAAATCCTTTTGCTTCTACTTTTTTGCTTGTGTCTTACTATCTCTAGAACCTACCACCATGGTTCAATACCATTAAATGTTACCTGGAATAGTAATGCATTAGGTTATTATTCATTTATTTTTTTGGAGAGATTTTTCACTATAGGGTGCGTGCGCTCGCCAGACAGACAGAGAGAGACATAGAGACAGAAAGCAAGAAATCACCCCCCAGAAGGGATGGTCACACCACAATCCCTTCTTCGTTCTCCTCTTGGGATCTTGGGCATGCACGCACATGCACCCGGCGTGAGTTTTAAGCCACTGGGCCCGGGATCGACTACGGGGGAGTCCAGCGACGTAGCCATTAAGCCAACTGCTGGTTCCCTAGGTTCTTGTTTTATTCTTGTCTGAAAACTCTGTTACCCATTACCAATCCTTGTGTGGTATCTAGAGTAACACTCAATTATGTCCTATCTCTGGTCAAAATCATTCAAAAGCTTTCTTTCAACATACCTAGAATTAATCCCATTTCTAGCCTTGGATTAGATTTTCAGTCTCATCTCCAACCAGACTTTCTCAGTCATTTTGGTCTTGGAGCTCCCTCTGGTTTTAGGGGCTCTATACACAAATATCCACAGTGCTCTTCACTTAGTAATTTAACAATCTTGGTCATTTCCTTTCTTCAGGTCACTGTTTGAGTTTTACCTCTTCAGAGACCTCTTTTTTGACTTCTCTAATGAAAGCACTACTCTCATGCTCCCTTTACCAAGAATTTTTTTTTCCCCTTAGAATTTATCACTACATGCCTTTTTATTACATAGCTATGGATTTTACTGATTTACCATTTGCTTCTCTGTATAAGTAAGATAGGAATTTTGTTTCTATGTTTGTCAGATATTTTTCAGTTGCTCTATAACTAACCTCTAGAAGATGCTTAACACATAAGCAATATTAGTTCAAAATATTTTTTGACTAATGATTGAACCAAATCAGTCAATAGTTAATAGGATACAACATATAATAAGATAAAACTCAGTTACAAAGGAATGTATTTATAAATAAGAAGTTGAATACAATATGACTGACAAATTTGTGGCTACCTTCATAATCAGTGATTCAGATCAGAAGTCAGTGCTTGGTTGGCATTGTGCAAGAACTATTTTGGAAGCATAAAGTACATGCTTTATTTGCTTGGTTGACATTTCTATTTCAAACTGAGGGTGTCTGATAGGTGATAAAAGTACACAAAAGAAGAGCTCGAATCATGGTGTTTCTGATAATAGGCAAAGAAGGAATTACTCAAGTGCAAAACTAGGGGTAATCAAAAGCTAGATTTAAGTTTTATATATGCATATTTATAGCTATTAAAATGATTTAAATATTTTTATAAAAATAATTTTTGATTCAGAATCTAAAAGGTTCTAACCTCTAAATCTCTCCCCAATAAAATACATTTTAAATTTATGCTATAAAACTATTTATACCATCAATCACCAAAAAAAAAAAAACTTTAAGCATATTTTATAATAACTAGAGTAGATCAAATAGCATCAACTTTAGTATTAGATACTGTATTTTTAGAAATTCTCAATAGGGAACTAGCAGATGGCATAATGGCTACATCGTGGGACTCCCATGTAGTTGACCATGGTTCAAGTCCCAAACCTGGCAACTTAAAACATGCTGGGTGCATGTGTGTACGTACCCATGATCCTGAGAGGTGAGTGAAGGAGAAGGGTTCATGGCATGGCTATTCCCCTGGGGTGCAGTTTCTCACTTTCTGTCTCTCTCTCTCTCTGAGTCTCTGGCTAGTGCACACACCCTATAGCAAAAAAATCTCTCACACACACAAAAGAATTCCAAATAGGCTAGCCAAGTTTTCTGAAACATAAAGTCTTTTTAAAATTTTGTTTGGTTTTTAATATTAATTTAGTAAAGTACTAAAATTAGTACTGTTATTTTTGTCTGTTTTAAGTTTTTTTTTTTTTTTTTTGCCCTGGGCTGCATGTGCTCTCCTGAAGAGAGACAGAGAGACATTTATAAGTAAAGTGAGAACTCAACTCCAAGGAGGATGGCTGCACAACAGGCCCTTCTCCTCCATTTTTGGTGCACATGCACCCAGCATGATTTTCAAGCTACTAGGTCTAGGACTTGAACCGTGTTGCCCATGTGGGAGTCTAGCACCTTAACCACCATGCCACCTGCTAGTCCAGAAGTGTTATTCTTAACATTTATTTGAATAATATTTTAAATTCAAAAATTTATTGCAGAAAACAATCATTACATAATTTATTACATTATTTCTTCCATTAGAAAATGGTGATTTTATATTTGCCACTAGAAATCCCACCTTGAGAATCTTTGGGATTATCTTGAACTAAACATAGTGGACGTATTAAAATCTATTAAAGAAACATATATATTTTAATGCCTTATTCAATGTAAAACCTCATGAATAATTTGTTCCTACTTTTATAGTAAAAACAAAGCATAAAAATAGTAGTGTTCAGTTCACATAATTAATCTGTATTTGGTTTGGTTAATTAAACTCATATATCTTGAAATTTCAGTCTTTTCTTTAAACAACACGAATATGTACATAGTTAATGCAAACTGTGGTTATACTTTATTTGCAAAATCTGAACTCAGCTTTTTCTTTAGTTCTGTATCTTAGTAAGTTTTCTCATACCTTCACTCTGAGCACAGAAGCAAACATTCTTGCATCTTCAGATACCCCTCCAATATAGAATTTTTTCTGAAACACTGGAGGGTGATCATTTTCATCCTGAATCTCAATGTACACTTTAGCTGTATTGCCTGAGGACAAGAAAGCATATGTTTTTATTAGTGGTTATTCATTAGAAAAAAAATGCACTGGAGTAGATACTCATCATACTTTAATGAAATGGAAATAAAATAAATCAGAAAGTCATTTCTGAATGCCTAATAGCCCCCAGTCCAGAGGACACTGATAATGATGGCACTGATAATAATACAGTTAAATTGCTGTACTTTCTTGTCTTTACAGGGTCCTGGTAATTAATCTTACTTGATTTAATAGGCACGGAAATACTGTGTTCTGCTAATCTTAATGCAACAACTCAACTCTTCATGTTCCCAAGCACTTCACACATATTACCAATTATACCACAATGATACAAACATATTAATTTCTTATGAAATAATAAAAACTGCTATACATATTAAAAGATATATTGTTGGGGGCCAGCAGGTGGCAAGGCAGTTAAAGGTGATGGACTCTCACACAGCCCACTGCAGTTCAAATTTTGGACCTGACATTTGCTTTTTCACTTTCTCTCTCTCTCTGTCCCTCTGATGAGTATATGTGCCCTATAGAAAAGTTCAAAAATGATGGCAGTGATAAATAAAATGATTCTTTTTTTTTTCAAAAGAAACTAAAAAAGATATATTTTTATTATTAAATATAAAATGAACAATGACAATTTAGTGGTTTTAAAAGTATGCGGGGTAGGTCAGAAGGAGGCATAGTTGTAGAATGCTGTGTTCCGCAGGCTGACCTAATGGGACGGTGGCCAGCTGATGTTAGGAGACTCTGAGCATGCAGAGCAAGAGTGTGTCCAGATCAGGGATGACAGGGGCTGGGGATGGAGTGCACAGGTCAGATTCTGTCAGGGCAAGCTATCTTTGTCTCACTTCCTCCCACTCATAGGAACAAAGAAAAGAAAGAAAAAAAGAAAAAAAAAATTAATTGTACTGTAATATTTTTTTTGAGAGGTTTTTGCTATAGGGCACATGCTCACAGGAAAGACCGAGAGAGAGACAGAGAGACAAAAAGCGAGAAGTCACCCCCCCAGGGGGCATGGCCATGCCACAATCCCTTCTCCTCCATTTGCCTCTTGGAATCTTGGGCACGCACACACACGCGTCCAGTGTGAGTTTAAGCCACCAGGTCCGGGACTCGAACCACAGTTGACTACATGGGAGTCCAGCAACATAGCCGTTACGTTAACTTCTGGTCCCAGAGTACTGTAAATTTTTTTTTTAAAGTTTAACAGTAAGCAATGTTTGAGGGAGGTGTTTATTTCTGCAATGAGAAAATAAGTTTTATTATGCACTAGAAACTACCAATGTCAGAAGTTAACATTCATTGGGAAAAGAAAAAATGTTGGAGAGATAATTAACATATGATTCATAAAAGTTGCCTTTTGTCACTTAAATCACATTTAACATACAATAAATATATTTAATCATAAAATGTTAGAACTTCCCCATGTCATCACACCTTTAATGAGAAACATGGCCCTTATCATAGGTTCCAGGAATGATCTTTTATAGAGGTCCTCATGTATAAAATAGCTTACAAGTCAGATGAAAGTGGTTATTAATTTTACAAAAAATAGATTCAGTAAGTATTCAAATGTATTGCTAAGTGAACTTTGCTGATGTTTTTCAATTATGACAAAATACATGGCAATTAATCTACCAACTCTTTGTCAGGGATGCCCTTATGTTAGTTTTATGCCACGTGTAATGCCTCTTTTCAGATTTTAACTAAATAAAACACCAGCTACCAGCACAGTGAGTACATCATGGGTATACATAAAACATGTCTGAGTTAGTTGAATAAACCAAGGAATACCTTGGCTTCATTCATTGTCAGTCCTTAAAAGCAGGATTTTATTTGTTTGTTTGCACTGGCAAGGGTTGGAGAGAGAGATCTAACTCCAAGGTTTTGCCTGGTCCTGCTACTTGTCATTAATTTTCCCTCTAATTTGTCTTTCTCCCACCATCCCTGAACTGAAACAATTAGAATCATTGTGGAAAACATGCCAGGCCGAGAGAGGTGGGTACCAGCAGAGAAGCAGGGCTAATGGCGGATGGTGCTTCCTTATCCTAGAGAGTCCAAACTCCGGATTGTCCCCAGTCAGCTGCCACCAATCAGAGCTCATCTAAACTGAAACCACTCTCATCTTAGAAGCAGACCATTTGTATCACTGGAATCAAAAGAGCTAACAGTTCCAAGTTTACTATCATAAGAAAAAGAAATCCTAAATTAAATCACATTTCAGTAACTTCCCTCTGTCTTTCATTCAGAAATACAGAGAAAGCAAATCTGCTTTTCTTTTCTAAAAATGACAGCAGTTTTAGAAAATATACTAGTTAATAATGTCATTCTTTGTTAAGAGGGATGAGGCACTTGGCGTCCATTAAAACTGGCAAAGAACACAGGTGGGCCACGACATTTATTCTTTACCTCCTAACACTAACGTATCTATGTGGTCACTGAATCTTATATATCCGCCTCATGAAAAGGTACATAAATGTTTATTAAATACTTCTGGGGTCATTTTTCTGTCAATCCACAGCTGCACACATACTCATGTCCTCCCTGTAGAATTACTCACAGTCCCCTTCCTCATCTTGTTTTTCTCATATGTCTTCCAGTCTTATATCACAGTATATTACAAAATACAAATATTTCATACACATTAAATTGAGTACTAAACTATCTATTCTTTATTTGTTTGTTCTATGTTCTATTGTTTATCTTTTTTTTGGGAGAGGTTTTTGGTATAGGGTGCGTGCGCTCGCCATTCAGAGACACAGAGAGAGAGAAAGCAAGAAATCACCCCCCAGGGGGGATGGCCATGCCGCAATCCCTTCTCCTCCGTTCTCCTCTGGGGATCTTGGGCACGCACACACATGCACCCAGCGTGAGTTTTAAGCCACCGAGTCTGGGACATGAACCGCGGTTGACTACATGGGAGTCCAACGACAGTCATTACGCTAACTGCAGGTCCCCCATTTCTTCAAACATTCAATATAACTTTTGAAGGACTGGCATGTGATGTGGCATCTACCAACTGTTTATCAGGGATAACCTTAAGTCCGTGTTTTATACCATGTGCAATACCTTAACTAAGTAATAGCACCAGCTACCAGCACAGAGGATACATCAGGGGCATACATAAAACATGTCTGTATTAATTGAATAAATGAATCTTGCCTTTATTCATTGTAAGTCCTAAAAACAGGATTTTGTTTGTTTGACCTCAGAAGGGTCAGAGAGGAAGAGAATTAACTCCAAGGTTTTGCCCCATCTGACTAGTTCTCATTAATTTTCCCTCTCATTTGTTTTTCTTTCACCATCTCTGAACCAAAAGAATTAGTAACCCCTCTAAGTTACTCCTCAATGGAATGAAACATAAAATATACAACCTTAAATACACAAATATTTGTATCAAAGAGCTTAGCATGGAATATAAGGCTCTTATAATCTAACATGATTATTTAGTTTTACTTTCCTCTGAACTCTATCAAAATTGACAGAAATTGTGAGCAATTTTTAAAAGACTTATTTATTGATTTTTATTTATTATTTTTATTTGCTATAGGGAATATGTACTTATCAGAGAGAAAGAGAAAAAGAGAATGAGAAAACAAGCCATCAGGTCCAGGACTTGAACCACCGTCAGCCACATGAGAGTCCAGAGACTTAACCATCACTCCACCTTTTGGACCCAACACTGTGAGCAATTTTGTGGATATGACTGTATGCACATTTGCAGGCCCCCTCTACACAGACACAAGCACACAGAAAACCACACACTCTACACCAGTCTCATTAGATATCATTCCTGCAGACAACATGCCCTTGCACAGAGTTGATAGTATGCTCTGGTCTCTATCTGGTATAGCACTTCTCTCTTTATCAGGCCTGAAGAATAAAGAAGTATATTACAGAACACACACACTATTATAGGTAGAACTTTAAGGACTTTTCAATTAGGAACTATCAGATTACTTTTCTAAGTCATACCACATTAATTTATTTTTTGAAAATAGAAAATAATGATAGTATGATGGGTTATTTACTATATCCTCAAAAAGTCTATAAGAATAGTGAAGTAACTTGGTGGTATATTCTATAGAAGAATAACTTTATTTGACACTGGCTTACTGAAAGCTAAGTGGCTTTACTTTTGTGTCATATATTTATTGATAGGTGCTGATACATTTGACGAGATGAGTATGAAAGATTTCAAATATAATCGTACATGTCATTTTGTACATACATATATATAAAGATTAAAATCCTTAATTATTCTTGTTAAACTTGTTTTAGTTCAACTTGGAACAGTTACTGAAGAGTTTGTGGTAAGATAGCCTATAGATAATTCAAAATATATTCTATAAAAAGAAGATAATGGAGAAAATTGTAAATTATTTGTAATAAACACATTGAAATGATAATAATGAGGTAAATATGAGATGCTATGTAATAAACATTTACTGATTTCAATTCTGCTTACATAATTATACATATGTTCTTTTTTTAAGATTTATTTATTTATTTAATTCCATTTTCTATAATTATTTTTAAATTTGACCAGGAAGAGATAGATAGAGACAGAAAGGGGAAGTGAGAAAACAAGTCACCAGGTCTGGAACTCGAACTGCAGTAGGCCATGTGGGAATCCAGCACCTTTAACCACCATGCCACCTGCGAGCCCCTATGTGCTTAATGACCACAGTAGTATGGTCCCTATTTGCAATACTTGAACAAGTAAGTGTTTTTCATGGTGAGATTTTCAACTTGCTGTGAAAAAATAGATTTTATCTTTTGAAATTTGCCTACTTTTACTTGATGTTTTAGGCAATTATGACAAATGTCAGACCCAGTTGTAAATGTATTATGCTGTTAGGACAAATCAGTGCTTTGATAATTCTTTTAAAACTACCATTTCCTTACATATTGGGAAAAATAATTTGAAAGTCAATGTTATCTAATACAATACTTCCGTGCAATATAAAAAAGTTGTATAAATATATTT